ATAATTAGAACACTTTAACTTATTTTGATAATAAATTAAAAGCCAATAAAATTCTAATCAACACAATCTAATTAATTCTATTAAAATATATTTGCATTACAAATGGTATTAACATTACAAATATACATTGTTATAACATGTTTCGTGCAAAGTTATATATATATATATATATATATATATATATATATATATTAGTTTATAAATGTAATATGCAAAATTCAATAATACATTATAAGACTAAAATAATGTTAGTTAATTAATTTAATTTAATTTAATTAATTTAATTTATAACTGTAATATGCAAAATTCAATAATACATTATAAGACTAAAATTATGTTAAAAACTATTATCATGAAATAATTGTTCTAAATATAAATAATTATTAATACCACAAACTTCATATAACAAAATTATATATATTTATAACATTAAGGGCTCCTAAAAATAAATTAAATGAATTGTATTCAATTAAAAGTTTAAATTTTTTATAAAATAAACTGCCTTATTTCCATTTTAGCAATTTGTAATTATGTGAATAATTAAGATGTTTTATTCTCTTTGTAGCTACAGATATTCTATTACAGTCACGAATAGTGAATTTATCGGGACACCTAATGAGTTTTAAGAATATACAAATTTTCACAACTTAATATTGATAAAAACTTAATTCACAGCTAGTTTGTAGCTTAAGTTTTTATTGATATTATATGGTGATTGTTAAAACTGATACCTTCGGAAAGATTAAACAATCTTGCCTAACGGATTAGGTATTGCCTTTTATAAAATGAGGTATTAAATTTACTAAACGCGAATATCCTGCGAGCTTTAAGATGTTCAGCAGCAAAACTGTACTAAATAAAACTATTGATAAACCAAACAATATCCCTTGGCTAAAAACTTCAGATCTCATTTGATTCAATGAAGATCTGATGGGTGTGTCGGGTAAGTTTTCGATGTTCACCAATCGACAAGATTAAAGAATGTTTCACAGATTATACGAATTTCTGTATATTTTAATCCCATTTTTAAAAGGTTATTCTCAACAGGAACGCGTCCAGTTAAAAAACCAGTGATTAATATGAGTTCAACCCTATTTGAATTGTTTTTACTGTTGACCAAATGCAATGTTGAGGATTATCTTAAACCTTTAATATCGAAATGTGACTTCACAATTTGTGATTTTTGATTTTATTGCTTCAAAGATAGATTTGGATCCTATAAAATGAGTTACATCAACTTATTTCGCAATCTGTTAGCTGTTACAGTCGAATCTCTCCTGAACTGATATTCAGACATACAACCAGTTGTTTATACTAGTCAACACACATAAAATTTTTGCAGCTTTGAACACATAACACACATTTTATATTTTATATACTATTATATCATATCATGTACTATGCACTATCTAAATTAAAATAAAGCGGTGAACCGAACATATGTGTATAGTGAAAATGATTAAGGTATATATTCTTTCATTCGCTTCTTTAAAGAATTGTCGCAGCAATGTTGTAGGAAGTTAAGTTACATTTATTTAACATATTTAAAAACTATATGACGGGACTGTCACTGAGGACTTTCAAATTCTAAAAAATCCAATTAGAAGTAGCTAAACTTATAAGATATTTTATTGCTGTTATAGTTCATAATAAAATAATTTAATGCATACCATTAAATTAAATAATATTATTACATATTCAAATATTACGAAAAAATAATATAGTACTATATATATTATCAGAAATGATTTATAATTACAACTATTTCCTTTGATAAATATTTAACATCGTGGAACTAATATAAACTTTTATTGTAAATCATTTTAATCGTTTGTTGTATGGTAAAGCATTTCGCTATTTGCTTTCTGATTTTAAGATACAATATGAAAATTTTATAAAAGCAAAAATTTTATTACAACAGTTGATTGCTAAAATGTTACTAAGAGTGTTAAAACGTTCTGGAGATTTTATTTTATAAGTTATATACGGTGAACAGTATTGTATGAGATTTACTTTGCAATAATAATATATATATTCAAACAAAACAATAAGAAAAAAAAAAACAAACTACCACTATTACTCATATTTCCATCTAATGCACAATGTATTCTCTAAGTTTTCAGAAAATCCTTAGAAATTTCTGATTGGATGGTACACATTATCCAAAGACAAAGCATTCATATTAAATAGATTAAAGGACCGATGAGCTCCAAACCGAAATGCTTAACTCTTACGGCACTCATTATTTCATTAGTTTTTTTATTAGTTTTTTTGCATAATCAAAAAATCTAATATATTATATTTTTGCTTTTATTATATTTCAGATACTACTCTTTGGTCTTAAATAATAAAAATAATTTTATTTAGATTATGATGTTACGATTTTTACGGTGCATTAAGCCAAAATATAATAGAATATTTTTGCAGTTTAATTCACGTTCATAAGTTATTTTTACGGCTTTAATCTAAAACCACACATCACGGGAGTTTGCACTTTGCTTCATTTACTATACACTGTATTCCCTTATCAGGGAAAATAATGAGTTATCAAAATCTGATCTAATAATAACTTTAAGAAAAGAACATACATTCTTATTGTTTATATAACCACCCACACATTGAGATATGAGAGATAGAGTGATATTAAAATCTATCCTGTTTTTATGGTTTTTTAAACCTAAAAACGTTTATTTTCGTTTATCGTGTGGTTCACAACTAGTTAGTAACAGAAAATATATTATATCTTCAAAATACTAAACATTATTGTAAAAAATAGTCAGGATTTTCTGAAGTTTCAATACCCTTTACACAGATTTACTATGTGAAAAGGGTAAATGTGCGAATCTATTAATTCCACTTACTATTGTTTAGACTCCCACATAATAACATCAATCAGTTTAATGTATTGTATATTCAAACTTGATCTGCCTGGACTGAATAATTATAAAGTTTCAGCGCAAAGTTTCATTCCATTAACTCTCTTAGTAAGTAACTACAATTAACCATTAATCCACTTATCTCAAAATACTAATTTGGAATTAATTTGATTTATATGTTATCCGACAATTCTCTTGTCCTTTAGGAAACAGTCATTCATTTATTCACAGTAACGCGGTATGTATAAAAAGTGTAATAATAAAATAAATATACATATTTCAAAATTACTCTTATTAAACCAAAAAAGTAATAATATAAATTTCAGAAAAACGTTTATTATAGATTCCCATCTACTGCACTGAAAGAAACATGATAGAGATCGATTATTGACAAGGATTAACCACGATTTATACTGAACCGTGTTCTTTTTTTAGATAGATGTACTAAAGTTTATATACGCATAAGCACTTCTATTTCCAATATGTGTCTTAATCGCAACTCTACTAGTCATGATGTTGCATACTGAAAATACTAATTTTGCCGTATTAAGATATTTTTATATCGATTTTACCTAGTTTTATATCTCCACTACACCCTAACATACTCCTACACTCATCTTCGTTTCTTCATATCGATCATATCGAGTTTTATATCTCCACTACACCCTCACTTATTCCTACACTCATCTTCATTTTTATATATCCCATATATTACCACTAAACGAGTTTTTTTTATTTTTGCCCCTAATAAAATTTTGTTTTTACGCTTGTTAACCTTGGGTGATGATTCAGTTAGTTACAATTATTATGTTATAATTTATTAGTACAAATGCATATGGCAGATAAGGCAATGCATCCCCGTATCAACGCAACCTCGAAAACTGAACTACTTTCTAAGATGATAATTTACAATATATTATTTATCTTAAAGATACAAATATAAATATTTACGTAAGTTATTTGAATGTTTTTTGCAACTTGCACTTATTAATTAAATTAGTTTACTTAATTATACTTAATTTATTTAATTAAACTTGTAATTCACATACGAATTTTTGTGTTTTGTGATTTGCTAACTTTAATATAATGTTATTAATATATTAATAAAAAAATATAAAAAAATTATACGATAATCTCAAAACGACATTATTTTCATTAATCTGCCTATTTACAATAGAATCCACAGTGATGTTTAATAGCAGTTTGTGAATAAATATACACATACATATTGAAAAAAATTTCATTAATATATACATATATTTGTTATAAGAGTATCAGTATTTATAATAGGTTCCAAATGTCAAACCTCTGACCTAATACACAAAAGCAAATCAGGGGTATCTAGCTTAAAATCTGTCTTTACACTCTGTATTTACTGTCTGTCACTGGAAGATAGGACAGCATGGTGCTAGACTGGGCCTACCCTGTGATATCTCCTGCAATGCGTGTCTACAAGCTCTTGAAAAAAAGTCACCGGAACACCTACTGTGTCTATGTCCAGGCTTGTCCAGAAAGCCCCCTTCTTCATAAATGTCCCCTTCTTTATAAATGGTTCTGGCTGGTTTCTAGCTTGATCTTCTCTTTACTATCCATTATTACGATGATTTGTGTATTCAAAACGGCTTTCTTAGCTAATTAAGGAGAATTCGGTCCTCCCTGCACCATAAATAACTATCGGTATTTAATAAAACTTACGCTTTAATTTTAAAAGTTTTTTTAGTTTTTAAAGCAATTTACATTGTCTTTGAAATAAACAGCTAACAGTTTTATATGTCGTACTAATGAGATACTATGAATTACTTTATATTTCACTAAATCTTAATATTAAAAACTAAAAAAATATCAAAAAAAATTTGAGATTTATTCAATATAGGAGCTGTTAAAGCGCAAATGAAACTTTTTTTAACTTTTATTGTAACATTTTATAAATAATAAGTTTTCACAGGATTAAATATTAGTAACGCAAGGTTTCATTCATACCCTTTTTATAATAATAAAAGAAATTGGAATCAAATCTGTATTACACAATCTCAATCACGTATACTAGTTTATTTTAAATATAACACTATTAATATTATAATATTTAATATTATTAAGAAAAAAAAAGATTTAAAGGTTTAAAAATTATTTTTCAATTCTAAAAGTATAAACATTTCATATTTATTAATATTCTTAAACAAGTTGAATATTTTCTACTTCCTTAATCAAATCCATATGCTTAAATTCCTGTGGTCGTTTTGTAAATGTTTCCAGCAATTTGAGTTTATTTTCATCATTTTTGCAATAAAACATTTGTAATTCATTTGCTAAACATTGAGCTTCTTGTCCGCTTAACACTTTGCTGTCATACTCTCCCCTCATTAGTATGATTCCTTTATCTTTCATTTCAGTGTAGTGAACTAGAGTAAGGCACTCTGGTGCGTTTTCAGCATGTACCTAACAAATAAATAATAGTATTTGTATTAATAAATGAAAATATTATAACAATAACCTGATAGACCAGAAGTGGGGTCAAATGAACAGCATTTGCAGCAAATTGCAACATAATAAATTCAAAACCCTCACTGCGCGGCAACGGCAACAAAAAGACTGGGAATAATTTTGCACGCTCCATGAGCGATTCATACTGGCCCACTGAAAGTGTAGCTGCCAACACGTTTTTAGTTTTATGATATTCAAACCATATCTTAGATATCTCATCAGCATTTTTGTCTTGTATAAGTTCCAGCTTCATAATATCCGTCAACTTTTTGTAAGGAATTTCGGCTTCAGGTTGTAATTCTCTCGGTTTTTTTGGATTCAGTAGTTCTTCATAAGTCCTACAGGGCATACTTTTAAAATCTTGAACATATTTCTTACTTGCTTTTGAATACCTTGTTTGACTCTTACCACCTTTAATGGGTTCGACCACCTTGCCAACGCGTTCGAGGAATTCCTCTGGCGATGTTTGTTGCAGATTTGCTAACTTTTGTGCATATTTTTCATAATATGGATTTTTATCTTTGAGCTTCTCCAGTTTCTCCTCTGCACGACGTTGAGCGGACATTGCAATCGATCTAGCAACTAAGAAATTATTTACTTTAAATATACGCAAACTACACCGCACACAGGCCATGCCGGAGTAAGAAAACCCTTCAATATTGTATTATTATACAACACACGCAAATGTATGAATAGTATTATGAAAAGAAAACAGATGTAATTTAAATGTCAAAAAAAAAATTTTACACACTCTTATATTTATAAATATTTTATTAGCTTTAATTTTGTTTTTATATTCTTTTTTATTAGAAAAAAAAATTAGTTCATATATTTAAGAATTAATTTAAAAAATTATTTGTTTTCGAAGTAAACACAAGAAAACAAAATTTTATTAAAGAGAGTTGGCAGCACTGTAACTATATGTCAAAAAGTTTCATCGTGCTCAGAGGCATATTAGGATATAATTTTAAACATTTAACATTTTAAGTAATAGTTCCTGTCTAAAACAAAATAAAACCATGGCCTCAACTAGCGGAACTGAAATGCCAGAACAAATTGATTTGTCAAAATTGAGTCTTGAGCAATTGTTTCAAATAAAGCAAGAACTTGAACAGGTGCGTCTGTTAGTTTAGTCATGTGAAAAATTTTCAATTACTAATATATTTGATAGGAATTTAGTGGTATTCAAGAATCACTACAAACGCTGTACAACTGCAAGGCAAAGTATGCTTCATCCAAAGAAGCATTGGAGGCATTTCAACCTGAGTGGGAAAACCGTCAAATTTTGGTGCCGCTCACAAGCAGTATGTATGTGCCAGGACGTATAAAAGATCTGGACAACTTTGTTCTGGATATCGGTACTGGATATTATGTCGAAAAGGTAACCAAAAGTAAACGATTTGGAGACTAATACTGACTGCATATCATTTATTTGATGATTGCTACGTTTGTATCCAATTTATATGAATTCCTATCATTTTTTCAATTAATACTAATGAATTACAATCACTATAATAATGTACGGATTACTGATTTTATATTTTAAATACTCTACGTTTCAGAACTTAAATGATTCCAAAGACTATTTCAAGAGACGTGTTGATTATGTTCAGGAGCAAATTGAGAAGATTGAAAAAATCCAAGTGCAAAAAAATCGTTTCCTTAATGCTATCGTTGGTGTCATAGAAATGAAACAACTTGCAGTCGCAAAGCAATTGCAGCAACAACAAAACGCATAAAGATATTATATTATCATAATTTATTTTACGTTAAACGCTTAAATTAATTAAGAAAAATCATTAAAAATTTTGTAATATCTATTAATACAATTAATATAACATTATTCATGCAATTTAACGAATATACAGTCTTTTTCTATTATTCAATTATAAAAGCTATTAACTGAGCAATTTTATTTATAAAATAAATAAACAATTTCAAAGACTAAAAATTGACATCACAGTAGTAACTAATATCAAAATTAGTTTCTTTTTGGATTTGGGTACATTAAAATTTCAATAATAAAGAATAAATATTTACAACTTATCACTTAATAAATATTTGGAATGAATAATAAAATGCAACGTTATGACAAAGTTCTACTTTATACAGCGACATAATCTCCAGGAAGAGCGATTGATTCATTCCAATACCTTTTTGTCATAAATGTCTTATTTTTACTTTTATGGTTCTACACATTTTTTTTGACTCCAACATCAGCAATTATTTCTTATATTAATGCCAAAAGAATACATAATGTACACATAATAAATTCAAGACATAATTGTTGTATAAAACCTTAATGATTGCAATCTGTAATCATAGAAAATTTTAAGTTTACATCGTTTTTAAGTTTTCTTCAATTATTAAATGTATAGATATGGATAAAACTGTAAAAAATTTTAAAAAGTGTTGTGGCGGTTGCATATTCACATGATCTAGATTGGCCATGCAAATTCGGACAAAATAAATTATTGAAAATAAGATAAGTTGGCCATGAAAAGAAAATTTTTAAAAAACTAATAATATTTTTATTGAGTAAAAAACGGAAGATTGTCATTCGTACACGTATAATTATTGTACTCGAAATTGAATTATTTATAATAAATAAACATTAAGAATTAAGTAGGGCAAAGCCTACAATTGGTGACCCCGACGTGATCAAAAATGTCGCAAGTAGATGCAAGCAACAATAGCGCACTGGATAGAAATAACATTCATGCAGATAGTAATGTATCAAATGATTACAGAAATGAACAACCTCGAGGTGACATTTGTCGTATCGGAATCAAAGCACCAGCATTCTGTAAGAGGGATCCAGACCTCTACTTCATCCAGATGGAATCTCAATTTAGAAACGCAGGAATCACAACTGACCAAACAAAATATGATCATGTAGTCGGCAGTCTTGACAGTGCTACCTTAAGAAATATCGCGGACATTGTTCGTGCTCCCCCTGCTGTAGGAAAATACGAAGCGATTAAGAAGCGACTAATTCAAGACTTTGCAGACTCCGAAAATCGAAAAGTGCGGCGACTAGTTCAGGAGTGCCAGTTAGGTGATAGCAAGCCAACACATTTGTTGCGCACCATGCGCGATTTAGCCAGCGGCGCCATGAATGATGGAGCAATAAAACAATTGTGGCTGGATCGTTTGCCTGAAGCAGTGCGAGCAGTCATTTCAATTTCGGAGGCTGACTTGGACAAATGTGCGCAGCAGGCAGATCTGATGTTGGAAATGGGAAACTACAATTCTGTAGCTGTTATCAACACATCTGCACAGAATAATGATCATATCATGAAAGCCATAGACGCCTTGAGTAAGCAGGTTGCGGAGATAAAAACTGCACAAAGACGAAGCAGAACGAGATCTCAAACTTCAGATCGCAAGCGACGTCGTTTGCTCCGTACCGAAGAAGTCCAATTTGTAAATACGTCTAGCCGCCTGTTCATCACGGATCGAAACACACAATTCAAGTTCCTGATAGATACTGGAGCTGATTTCTCAATATTACCAGTGTCTCGATTCAAAAACTCCAAGCTACAATCAACATCGCGATCATTGTATGCAGCGAATGGTTCGGCTATTCCAACCTACGGTAACAAGTTGCTGTCAATGAACTTGGGCCTTCGTAGGAAGTTCGATTGGAATTTTATAATCGCCAATGTTTCAAAACCAATTTTGGGTGCCGATTTCTTGAAACATTACGGTCTTGTGGTAGATGTAAAACGTAGATGCCTGAGCGATACGCAAACAAAGTTGAGTACCCAATGTGCATCGGAACACACTGGATATGAGCCAGTCTTTTCCATTCAGAATGACCACAAATTCAAAGAGCTTCTAAACTCATTCAAGGAGGTGACAATGCCTGTTTCATATAACTACAATAACGAGCCTAAGACTACGGTTCGCCACCAGATTATCACCACTGGTCAGCCTGTTTTTTCGCGTGCACGGCGGCTAAATCCGCAAAAACTGCAAGCAGCCAAGCAGGAGTTCGAGTATATGTTGAAGCAAGGAATTTGTAGACCATCCAAGAGTGAATGGGCGAGTCCACTAAATATGGTGCAAAAAGGAAATGGTTTGTGGCGACCTTGTGGCGATTACCGTCGACTTAATGCCCAAACAGTTCCTGACCGCTATCCTATTCCACACATGCAAGATTTCACGCATTCGCTAAATGGAAAACGCATTTTTACAACGTTGGATTTAGAAAAGGCATACTTTAATATACCGGTTGCTGAAGAGGATAGAGAAAAAACAGCAATAATTACACCTTTCGGCCTGTACGAATTTAATGTGATGACTTTTGGACTTTGTAATGCAGCACAATCATTTCAAAGGTTCATGGACCAAGTTCTTTTCGGACTTAAGTTTGCTATATGTTATATTGATGATATTTGCATCGCATCCGATAACATAGACGAGCACATACAACATGTGCGCAGCGTGCTACAACGTCTCCAGGAACATGGTTTGAAAATAAACATTGCAAAATGTGTGTTCGCAGAGGAAGAAGTAACATTTCTTGGTCATCTCATTAATCATAAAGGAATTCGTCCCCCAGGCAAGAAAATTGAGACGATTGCAAATTTTCCAAAACCAAAGGTAGTGCATGAGCTACGGCGATTCATTGCAATTATCAATTTTTATCGACGTTTTATTCCAAAAGCGGCGGAGATCCAGGGACGGCTTCAGAACTTAATTAAGGGTAACAAAAAACAGGACAAAACTGTTATTGAATGGACCGCGGATGCAGATAACGCATTTGCGGAATACAAAGAAGCCTTAATTAATGCAACAACAATTGTTCATCCAATTCCAGACTCAAACCTTGTACTTCACGTGGATGCCAGTAACGTAGCTGTTGGCGCTGCATTAAATCAAATCAATAACGGACAACTCGAGCCTTTGGGATTTTACTCAAAGCGGTTGACGAATACTCAAGTCAAGTACAGCACGTACGACCGTGAGTTGCTCGCGATTTACCAATCGGTTAAATATTTCAAACATGCGATTGAAGGTAGACGTTGCACTATTTTCACTGATCATAAGCCGATAACGTATGCATTTCGACAGAAACCGGAAAAGGCATCGCCACGCCAACTAAGACATTTAGATTACATCGGTCAATTCACAACTGACATTATGCATATAGCTGGTAAGAATAATCCGGTAGCTGATTTTCTGTCACGTATCGAAGCTGTCAGCAATGAAGATTTAGTTGACTTTGATCAATTAGCAGAAAGCCAGAAAACCGACATTGAAACAAATGATTTTCTGTCTAAAACGAATAAATCTGCACTTCAACTGAAATGGATACTCATTCCAAATTCATCTAAGGAAATTGCATGTGATGTATCATCAAATCGTGTGCGTCCTTTTGTAACTGAACAGTTTAGACAACGCGTCTTTAATTCAATACATAATTTAGCACATGCTGGTCGGCGAGCCACTATTAAGCAAATAGCAGAACGTTTCGTATGGCCGGGCATGGCAAAAGACATTGCGGAGCGTGTTAAATTATGTCTTCCGTGCCAACGAGCAAAAGTCACTCAACATAATAGATCAGCAATTTTGAATTTTGACGTACCAAGTGAGCGGTTCGCTGTAATCCACATTGACCTCATTGGGCCTCTACCATCGTCAAACGGTTACCGATATTGCCTTACATGTATCGATCGGTTTACCAGATGGCCAGCGGTAGTCCCTATCGAGGATATACATGCCAGCACGGTAGCCACAGCGCTCATCAATGGTTGGATCATGCACTTTGGCGTTCCGAAGCAGATCATAACAGATCAAGGAAGACAGTTCGAGTCAGCACTGTTTAATGAATTAGCGAAACTCATTGGTGCCAAACATATCCGAACTAGTCCACGTCATCCTCAAGCGAATGGTTTGATTGAACGTTTTCATCGGACTCTGAAAACTGCAATGAAAAGTAAGCATGAACATCAATGGTCTGATGCAATACCTTTGATTGTGTTAGCGCTTCGAAATATCTTTAAAGAAGACCTTAAAGCCACTCCAGCAGAAATGGTATATGGAACAACTCTGCGGTTACCGAGCGATTTTCTGGAGCAAGGTAATAATGACAAAATCCCAGAACATGAATTTGTGGAAAACATGAGACAGATGATGTCTCAAATACGATTAGTTCCTACATCAAATCACTCAAATGAGAAAGTATTCTTACAGAAGGAACTACAACATGCTACTCACGTGTTTTTGAGGGATGATAATGTCCGGCCACCATTAAAAACACCATACGATGGGCCATTTAAGGTTGTGAGGCGTTCAGACAAGACATATGATCTTCTAATCAAAGGAAAACCGGTGCGGGTGAGTGTTGATCGGGTAAAGGCAGCATTTTTATCAAGTGACAATGAAGACGTAAGCCCATCACGTACAGAAGATATGGCAGATACTCGAATGGATACCAAATCAAGTAATGTAACACGAAAGGGACGGTTAGTGCAGGTTCCAAGAAGATATGTTAAATTTGACTTAACGTGACATCGCACATGACTCAGTCACTGCCAGGGGAGTGATGTGGCGGTTGCATATTCACATGATCTAGATTGGTCATGCAAATTCGGACAAAATAAATTATTGAAAATAAGATAAGTTGGCCATGAAAAGAAAATTTTTAAAAAACTAATAATATTTTTATTGAGTAAAAAGAAGGTTGTCATTCTTTTGGACGGTTTGTTTTTATAAATAAATAAAATTAAATTAAGTAGGTTAATCCTACAAATATAATGTATAATATAATATTATATATAATATAATATATAATATATGCTATACAGGATATAATAAGTATAAATCGTAGTAT